GTTTCTTTGGTTTCTAAGTGCCATGTTCATAAGTAAAGGTGCTTGTAGCTATAGGCATTGGTAAGTTTGGGTCATGTAGACAGCATATAAATGAGGAATTGGTGGAGCTGCCATGTTAGGGATTATTGAAAGACAAAGTCCTGGAATGAAATATATAGTTCAGAGACTGGAGGAGAGGTTTTTGAAATGGCGTGAAGGACAGGCTTGAGTATATGAGTGTGAATATATTAGTGAGAGTGTGTGAGTATAGGACATGCTCGTGTAAGCAATTTAACATCTATTAAGAGATTTAGGGAAACCAGTTGTCCACACTTGAGTTATGAAAGTACAGTGCCTGCACTTTGCACAATTGATAAGGATGTATTTAGATCACTGGAATTGTGATGTCTGTGCTCTTCTGAAAATTTCAGGCAGCTGTGAAATGAGTGATGATAAATGTGTTTAACTTCTTTGATATCCAGGTACTATTTACTGCTTGGTAAACAGTGTAAGCAAGTGTACAGAGACTTGTATATTTGTTTCCACCCATTTTTTTTTATAGTAAACATGCATCGGTTCAACCTGTCAAAGAAGGGTTATCCTAGTAGCTGTTGTCTTATTGCTTTCAGTTCCATTATCTTAAAATAATTAGACATGAAAATTTTTATTAACAATGATCTAAATCTGTATCTGATCACCAGTACAGGTACAGTAAGGTCCATTTTCCCCTGCCATAACACTAAATGTATTTCAGTCTTAAGATTGTATGGCTTTACAAACTATATATTGATTTACCCTCTATCTCTGAACTCTAGTAGCATTTTCTTCAAGGGAAGTGCCTTGATGCTGGTAAAGGGTTCTTGATTCAAGGAATTAGAACTACCTTTCCCTTCAGTGGATCACACCTGATTACTGCCTATTCTCTAGGTGCTGTATGACCTTTGCCTGTTTAGTGCTTACTCATAAATATAATAATTATATTTTCCATATTGCCTCCCTTTTCCATTATACAGCCATTTGTAAAACAAACTACCAACCTGTGTGTTCCCTGACACCTCTGATCTCCAGTCTGTTAAGAAGCACTTGAGGAGATATCTTTTGTTTTTCTTTTTCCTCTGAACCTGCACTAATTAATGGACGAATGTGACTTTGCTGCTGCCTATCTTATAAACCAATTTAGTAAAACATTTATATGTTTTTAAATTTGAAATATTTAGCCATTTATTCTATTAATGCTTTTGTTGTAGTAAGTTATAAATTATAAGTGAGTTTGTTGTTAGCAAAGTATATAATATAGGCTTAAGTAATTATGTATATTGGCTTTTGGACTTACTGTTTACTTCCTACATTGGCAAGCAGATAGTGTGACTGTAATACCTTACCTGAAGTGCATCTAGAAAGTAGAGGGAAACATTCCTCATTCTAATTTAAATAAATAAATTTTAGAAAGTGGACATGAACAGGCATCTTAGATAAATATTTTACACAATGCATGTGTGAGAATATACTTGCCTAGCTGTATATGTGGTGGTCAGAATTCATCTGGCCTCTCAACTTTAAATCATTTGGTACAGTAGGTGCCTAATCCCTCAATTACTGTGGTACTGTACCACTGTGCTTCTGAATCCATGTGCCTGTACTAAGTTTCCTTGGAGTACCCCTTTTTACTTACTTTTTCCACTTTTTTTACTCTACTTGCAATAAAAAAGTAACATGTTATCTGGGTGATAAGCTTCCACCAGTGTTCCACTGTTCTGGTCCCTTCCAAATCACACAGTCTACCCTTGTGTATAATGTTAATATGGTTTAGAAAGACATGTAAGCAAACACTATGACATATTTATTAGAAAACGTTTCGGTCCTGGGACCTTGATCACTTCTAACATACAGAGGTAGAAAGACATTATATATATAGGCGGAGAGTGAGGTGTGGCGCACGTGACCTGAGGAATGTCATAAGAACATAAGAATGGAGGAACACTGTAGAAGGCCTACTGGCCCATGCAAGGCAGGTCCTTATCAAAACAACCTCTGCCTATGATGAGGACGGGTAGACGATGAAATCATGTGACTCCTGTGTTGTTGGGTTGGTGGTGCTTAAGTATCATGTATACCAATGTTTTTGAAATTTTGTAGTTTCCAGTGTTGCGTTCTATAGTGTCGGTGACGGCGATTAGCGAGGCTTCTAGGCACCATCGGCGTCTGAGGTCTGGTTCGGTGAGAACGAGTTGTGCCTCATTCCAGTTCATCAAACGTCCCATGGAGTCTCTGTGGAGGACACAGACGTACCTTACATCGTCTCTGTTAGAGGCATTTCGATGCTCATTCAGGCGGACTACAAGATCTCTGCCTGTCTCGCCTACATATTTCTTGGGACAGAACCCACAGGGGATAGTGTAGACGCCTGCTGTAGAAGTTAGAGGTGTGGGGCTGCTTTTTGTAGTGAGGTCTTTGATAGATGATGTGTTTATGGTGGAAACGTTGATGTTACTCATAGCAAGTGCCCGGCGAGTATTCGTGGCAACATCACCACATGGGAGTACTATGAACTGCTTAAGGGGCTGTTCCATGGGCGGTTTGTTGAGGATAGCTTGTGCCTTGGGTTCTGTCCCAAGAAATATGTAGGCGAGACAGGCAGAGATCTTGCAGTCCGCCTGAATGAGCATCGAAATGCCTCTAACAGAGATGATGTAAGGTACGCCTGTGTCCTCCACAGAGACTCCACGGGACATTTGATGAACTGGAATGAGGCACAACTCGTTCTCACCAAACCAGACCTCAGACGCCGACGGTGCCTAGAAGCCTCGCTAATCGCCGTCACCGACACTATAGAACGCAACACTGGAAACTACAAAATTTCAAAAACATTGGCATACATGATACTTAAGCACCACCAACCCAACAACACAGGAGTTACATGATTTCATCGTCTACCCGTCCTCATCATAGGCAGAGGTTGTTTTGATAAGGACCTGCCTCGCATGGGCCAGTAGGCCTTCTACAGTGTTCCTCCATTCTTATGTTCTTATGTTCTTATGACATTCCTCAGGTCACGTGCGTCACACCTCACTCTCCGCCTATATATATAATGTCTTTCTACCTCTGTATGTTAGAAGTGATCATGGTCCCAGGACCGAAACGTTTTCTAATAAATATGTCATAGTGTTTGCTTACGTGTCTTTCTAAACCAACTTGTTGGTATTTATTACCAAGGTTTATACCATAATGTTAATATCCCTGAGTATTGTGTATGTCATGATCATATTTTCCCCTTAACATTTTTGCTTCTTAAGTTATACATATGTGGTTTAGCTGTGTTAGCTTTTCCTTGTAACTCTTGTCTGTGGTCTGGGATAAGTCTGCTGGTAAACTTCTAAACTTTATTGATTTTCTTTAATTCCTTGACTAGGTGTGAGCTGCACATGGTGAAGCATATTTGAGGATTGGAATACAGCATCATAAATTATTTTTTTAAGTTCTTAAGGTAATTACATTTGCATGATTATCTGGAGATATCCTAGGTATATTTTTCACCATTTCTTGCATGATAGGCATCCAACTGGATTGAGAAATAATAATGACAGTGGTTCTTGTTTTACTCTGCAATTATTAGTTTACACCAAGGTCTTGCAATTTTTAGTAAACCCACAGAATGGATGGGTACAAACTCAAAGTGAGCCAATCTTAATGCTAGCAGGCCAGTGCATTAACCTCTGTACCATGTCAGCCTAATAAAATTCGCTCAGTCAAGGCATGTTTCAGTTTCAGTACCCTTGGAAAGTTGGCATGAGCCACACTGTGACCACAGTGCAAGTTTTTACAGATGAATCTTGCACTGGCTTACCATGGCTTAAACTCCCGTTCTTTCTGTGGGTTGTTTGTAATCGTGTTATAATTTTGTGAGTAAAATTCAGTATAATTTTAAGAAAATTAGTATAATCCAGTACAGTATAGAGATTTCCTAAAGTTATACGTACTGTACTTTTTCCTTCAAATCAGCTGGAAGCTTATCTCATCTTTTCCAGAACCCTTTCTATAACTGGTTCTCACAAGGTGTTTGTCAGTTAAAGTGTGGGTTCAGCTGTTTGTTTCAGACTGTTCAGTACTTTTGTTAAGGTGGATCTTTCATTTATTTATTTTTTTCAACTCCAGACCCAGGAGTCACCTTACCATGTGGTGAGGTTTGAGCAGCTTTGCCTGATCAAGAACCCAGGAATCTCTGCCTTTTTTTCAGCCTTACATTGAAAATCTCCTTTGTATAAAACTTTGCTGTTGTTTATTGCCTGTGATTTGGGTCAGATTATAGATCATGGCCTTATGATACCACCACTGGCACCTGAATGCCTTGTGGCCTCTGATGTGAAATGGCTTTTGGATAATTCTTGGGCTTTGATATGTGGATTAATTCCATCGCTGCTGATGCCACTGCTGCTGCTGATGCTTTCAATGCTACCACTGTTTTCTCACCAATCCCTCTTCTGCTATCATTGCTGATGTCTCCTTGGTGGGGCATAGCCTTTGGCTTGGATCAGTTCCTGGATATGGTTTGGACTGCAATTTTTTTTTTTACTCACTTTATGTTGTGGATGTATTCCCTTTTATTCTCTTGTATTAGTACCTTAGTTCTGGTATCCACAGGATATTATTATGTGTTGCTTGTTTGCTCATACTATTAATTTTATTTTTGTTACACAATTTTGCCTCTATTGTCCTTGTGTCGGCTCATGTTTACTTTTTTGTCATGATTGCTGAGTGTTCTTATAAGGCAAAATGCTCTTCAATTCTCACTTCATTCATTCAGTCATTAGTTGTTGTATATAATTTTTACTCTGCTGATGTTTACATGGAGCAAAATTATTATTGCATTATTTACATGTTCATGAAAATTTGAAAACCTAACATTTATATGTTATAGCACCATGATGAGTATTGTTTTACAGTCATGATTCTGTATGCCGGTGTGTTGAAAGTCCAAATTTACATAGCAAATCAAATTTTGTCTTCATTGTTGAGATTAAATTACATACTGTAATTGGAACATTAAAAATCTGCAGAATGTTTCAGTTATCAAAATAGGATTTTCTATCAAGTTTGGATAATTTATTTAAGTTTTTAAGAAAATGACACTTCAGAAAAATCTTGGTCGTTTTTTTATATACTTAAGTTGCTAATTACACAGAAATATTGCTATGTATTTAGTGGGGTAAGTGGCATTGATGTAGCTGTAGAATTACTGCGTAGCCTAGCTCTTCTGTTGTCCTTTCAGGAGTGACGCTTACCGAGTGCTCAAGTGGAGAGGAGAAGCCCACCTTGCCACTGTGGACAGGTAAACTTTTTATTAGTATACTCCACCTTCACTTTTGAAGCTTATTGTTATTGCTTCATTTGGCAACAAGTATCATAATTTAAGAGACCATTTAACCCTACAACCCATCCTCCTGAATAAATATCAGTTATTTACCATGAAATTTTTTGGAAAAAGTGAAAGTAACACTGAATTTGTGGTATGTACACATATTATGTTTGCTTCCTCAGTCTTCTCTGCAGCTTAATGCTTTTTGTTGGGTCATCAGAACAAAGTTTTACCTTCATATATTATATTACATGCATTGATATTAATGTATGTTAGAATTAGCTCAGTTTGGTTAATCAGTATTAACCTAATACAGTGGACCCTCGACCAATGATATTAATACGTTCCTGCGAGCTCATCGTTAGTCAAAATTATCGTTAGTCGAGCTAATTTTCCCGATAAGAAATAATGGAAATCAAATTAATCCGTTCCTGACACCCCAAAGTATTGAAAAAAAAAAATTTTACCACATGAAATATTAATTTTAATACATACAAACTGAAGAAGACATGTACAATTACATGACACTTACCTTTATTGAAGATCTGGTGACAATTGATGGGATGGGAGGAGGGGAGTGTGTGAATGATGTTAGTGTTTAGAAGGGGAATACCCTTCCATTAGGACTTGAGGTGTCAAGTCCTTTTCCGGGGTTACTTCCCTTCTTCTTTTAATGCCACTAGGACCTACTTGAGAGTCACTGGACCTCTGTCACACAACATATCTGTCTATAGAGCTCTGTACCTCCAGTTCCTTTAAGACTTTCCTAAAATGGGCCATAACATTGTCAGTGTACAGGTTGCCAACACGGCTTGCAGTAGCTGTGTCAGGGTGATTTTCATCAAAAAAGGTTTGCACTTTAAGCCACATTGCACACATTTCCTTAATCTTTGAAGTAGGCAACTTCCTCAATTTCTCTATCCCCTCCTCCGGAGTAGTTTTCTCAGGTCTGGCCTCTTGCTGTTGAAGATGATCTTGCAGTTCATCAGTGGTTAGTTCATCATTGTCGTCCTCCACCAACTCTTCCACATCCTCCCCACTAACCTCCAACCCCTTAGCAATGATCTCTTTCTTCATATCCATAGTAATTCTCACCCTTTTTGCTGTAGGGTTGGCACTAGAAGCTTTCTTGGGGTCCATGGTGACTTACTTTGCAGGTGCAATCACTAAAAACGCTGTGATAATATGAAATGTTCTGATTGTATGTTTGGATGGGACCGCGGTGGCTGGCTGGCTTGTAAACACTGGCCACAAGTGGACGCGTCTCGAACAGAACGAATCATGTTGGTCGAGTTTTTTAGCGCTAGTTGAGGCAAAATTTTTGCATTAAAATGTATCGCTAGTCGGATTTAACGTTAGACGATGCCATCGTTGGTCAAGGGTCCACTGTATACGTAATCAAATAGTGAATATGTATAGAGGATTTGGCTTGAGGTATAATATATATACAGTATTGTAATACATAGCCAGCAGTAGAGTTAGGAAGACAGGTTAAAAAATGAACAACAAGTTTAATATACTCACTAACATTATACAGTGGACCCTCGACCAACGATATTAATCTGTTCCTGAGAGCTCATCGTTAGTCGAAATTATCGTTAGCCGAGTTAATTTTCCCCATAAGAAATAATGGAAATCAAATTAATCCGTTCCTGACACCCCAAAGTATTGAAAAAAAATATTTTTACCACATGAAATATTAATTTTAATACACACAAACTGAAGAAGACATGTACAATTACATGACACTTACCTTTATTGAAGATCTGGTGATGATTGATGGGATGGGAGGAGGGGAGAGTGTGGATGGTGTTAGTGTTTAGGAGAATCCCCTTCCATTAGGACTTGAGGTGTCAAGTCCTTTTCCGGGGTTACTTCCATTCTTCTTTTAATGCCACTAGGACCAGCTTGAGTGTCACTGGACCTCTGTCGCACAACATATCTGTTTATAGAGCTCTGTACCTCCCGTTCCTTTAAGATTTGTCTAAAATGGGCCATAACATTGTCATTGTAATAGTCACCAGCACGTCTTGCAATAGCTGTGTTAAGGTGATTTTCATCCATAAAGGTTTGCAGTTCAACCCACTTTGCACACATTTCCTTAATCTTTGAAGTAGGCACAATGGATTCCACAACTGGCATAGGCGTCTCAGGGTTAGCCCCAAACCCTTCAAAATCTTTCTTAATTTCCATACTAATTCTCAGCCTTTTTATCACAGGGTTGGCACTAAAAGCTTTCTTGGGGCTCTTAATTTCCATACTAATTCTCAGCCTTTTTATCACAGGGTTGGCACTAAAAGTTTTCTTGGGGCCCATGGTGACTTATTTCGCAGGTGCAACCACTAAAAACTGTGATAATATGAAATGTTCCGATTGTATGTTTAGATGCGACTGCAGTGGCTGGCTTGTAAACATTGGCACCCACGGGACAAGTGAGGCGCACTCAGGCCACACGTGGATGCATCTCGAATGGAACAAATCGCGTTGGTTGAGTTTTTTGGCGCTAGTCGAGGCAAAATTTTTGCGTTAAAATGTATCGCTAGTTGGATTTAACGTTATACAATGCCATCGTTGGTCGAGGGTCCACTGTACTTGCCAAGTTGTGGTTATAAGGGGTCTAATTTCAACTCTTAGCCCCACCTCTTGATTACTTGCAAAATGTATTCTGCATGAGCTGCATATAGTACAGTAGACCCATATATTACAGATTTATTTGGCACGTTTTGGTTATTACACTATTGAAAAATTGCAGCATAATTTTATACAACACTTTGTAAAATTAACTTAACACTGTTCAGTTTGTGGGAGGGGAAAAGATTGCAGTGTCACCTGCGGGATATTTCCCTAGCTCAGGCTGCTTCCTGGCTGTGGGTGAGACCACTGTCTCTGTGGGGCTGCACCAGGCTTCAAGGCAGCAAAGGATTGCTTTACCTTGCTCCTTTACGGTAATGTGTCAGGTGATTTCAAGTGTAAGCCCATGGTTATTTACTGCTCTAAGAATCCTCGTGCTTTGAAAAGTGTAGATAAAAATGCCTTACCAGTAATTTGGAGGTCAAGCCAGTCAGCATGGATGACAGAGGAAATATCTATTGATTGGTTTAAGCATTGCTTTATTCCTGAAGTCAAGTTTCACCTGCACAGCAAGAACCTTGCAGTCAAGGCTCTTCATTATTGATAATTCCCGTACTCATCCAGAAGTTTTGCTGGATGTGACCCCCCCATGTAAAAGTTGTATTTTTACCTCCAAATACAACATCGTTAATACAACCACTGGATCAGGGAGTAAAGTCATTGAAGTGTAACTACACAATAAAAGTAATGAAAAAACTGCTACAGGTCCGCCATCACAAATCCGGCAATCAGACATCTGGTTCCATCAATTATTCAGCACTAATTTTGGCTAGCATAATTTCAAATTTCCAGGGTTGCCACACCAACCTGCTGGTACTGTTTGGTGGCGCTACTTGCTGCGTAAGTCATTCCAATTTGTTTTTCTCCATTTATTGTTATAACCTGCTTTTAGCCCTAGCCATGGTTTCACCGAATAAAAGAAATGCTTCTCGTTGTGTAAAGCACATACACAGTACATCGTCTATAAAAGATAAGGTGGCTTTGAAGCCACTGTTGGTTGCCATGAGCTCAGTCTTGTGATGCAGGGGAATATGCTTTATTATTACACTAATATCAACACTACGGCTTATTATTTACCTATCACAATTGATCTAATATGACATAATAAACAATATAAATAACATAAAAACATGTTAAATACTCCAGAATGAAGAATACAGTGGACCCCTCAACCAACGGCATTAATCCGTTCCAGAAGGCTTGCCGTTGGTCGAGTTAATTTTCCCCATAAGAAATAATGGAAATAGAATTAATCCGTTACTGACTCCCCAGAGTCTGAATTTTTTTTTTTTACATGAAATATACATTTCCTTATATGGAAAGGAATGGGACATGCAAAATAAGCAATAATTAAATGCCACTTATCTTTATTGTAGAGTTGTTGATGAGTGATGTGCCAGCAGCAGGGGAAATTCAGAATTGTCTATTGCTTGGAAGGAGAATCCCATTCCAGAAGGACTTCATTTCCATCGTAATTCTCACCCTTTTTAACACAGGCTTGGTACTAGAAGCTTTCTTGGGACCCATGGTGGCTTATTTAGTGGTTACAAGCACTAGAAATAGTGGAATTATCCAAAATGTATGGGAGGCACACATGGAAACCGACTGCAACAGCTAGTAAACAATGGCACACTGACTCTTGGAGTGGCTGGGTCTGCTCAGGCCGCGCTCTGGGCACATTGACACATTCCGGACAAACGTTGTTGGTTAAGTTTTTTGTCGTTGGTTAAGGCAATTTTTCTATGGCAAAAAGCGCCGTTAGACGAAATTGCCGTTACTCAATGCTGCCGTTAGTTGAGGGTTGACTGTATTTGGCATAATACTGAGCAGTTCGATGGAGGTATGAAGAGGACATGGGATACAAGTACCATTCTCCTATCCCTGTCTTGGGGGCTTATATTAGAGAAAACGGAGTATAGCACAGGGCTAACTTTGATATATACTCGTAGTGCACCATAAAACTGAAACAAAAAAGATATTTTCTCTACATAGATTATCATACACAGCAGCATATGTGTAGAGAATCTAGGATAACCCAAAAAAGTCAGACAAAGTGATTTATTTCTAGTACCTGGCTTGGGCTTGCCATATATGATTTTTGGTAAATATTTATTTTTCTCAGTTGTTTGTTGGGCTATCTTATTGAAACATGAACAATGTGTAATGGAAAGACACTTCTTAACATACACCAAAAATGAAAGAAATCAGACCTTAAATAATGGAGTGCATTTCTTAGCCATTAGCTGCCCCTTAGCGGTATATTTTCGTATGGTTTTTATGGTTGTATTCTCTTTTTTTTGGTCTCATTTGATAGAATGGAAGATATATTGCAGAAACAGATA